TATGTTCAGCCCTGAGGAGGCTGTTGCCCAGGACAGTCACCAGGCAGATGCCCAGGCAGAGTGCCAACAGCGCCATCTCGTGCTGGGCTGCTCCTGGAGCCCCAGCCAGACCTGTCCACTTAGGGCCACACAGTGTTCGGTTGGCCTGAGAGCCAAATCACCTCCGTGAGTGATGCGCAGCCGCTCAGCCTGCCTCTTTGAAATTGAGTTCCTCATCTGTATCACAAGAGAGTCGGACTCTTCAGAAAGCATATTTTTTTTCTTTCTTTTCTTTCTTTCTTACATTCTTTCATTCTTTTGTTCTTTCCTTCTTTCTTTTAAAAATTATTTATTTGTATTGGAAAGTCACATATACAGAGGAGGAAGAGAGAGAGAAGATCCTCCATCCGCTGATTCATTCCCCAAGTGGCCACAATGGCTGGGTCTGAGGCAATTGAAAACCAGAAGCCAGGAGCCCTTTCTGGGTCTCCCACATGGGTGCAGGGTCCCAAGGTTTTAGGCTGTCTTCTACTGTTTTCCCAGGCCACAAGCAGGGAGCTGGATGGGAAGCAGGGAGAATTAGAACCAGTGCCCATATGGGATCCCGGTATGCGCAAGGTGAGGACTTTAGCCACTAGGCTACCGAGCCGGGCCCGGGGGCGGGGTATATTTTCTAGGCTGTAACTGAATTATACCTGTGGTATTTCAGATTCATTGGTTGAATACTGTGAAGGCCTAATTGGATATTGTCTCAGCCTGGGGTTATGATAATAGAGTGAATGGACAGAAAGATTCTGTGCCCCCTTGCCAGTACAGGAGTAGAGGGGAGACACGGTTTGGAAGGCAGGTGTTCGATGAGTGATGCCCACTGGTGTTCCTTGGGACCGTCAGGATTGGACCATAGCAGCATGAGAGGTGCAAGTCTGATATCTGCTTACCTCTTCTCTGCAAATTTCACATGTTTTCTCATTCTTTAGTTTTCACGTACTGTTTTTCTCTAATTCCTGTGTTGGTATGTGCAACACAAAGATGATTTTCCATCAGGACGTAAGGATTGGGGAACTCTTCTTGGAAGGAGGTAGACCCACTCCAATGGGCTAGTCGTAGGGTGTCCTGGGGCTGGGTCCATGTTAGACATGCACAGCAGAATGTCCAAGTGTGCTGAAAGCCCCGTTAGTCCTGCTGGGACAGGGCTGCTGGTTTATCCCCCAGGTGGCATGGTCAGACAAAGAAGAAGCTGTATGTGGATTCTCATAGTTCAGAAAAGATACTTGGACCTGGTGCCATGCTCAGTGGCTAAATCCTTGCCTTGCATGTGCTGAGATCCCATATGGGCACCAATTCATGTCCTGGCTGCTCTACTTCCCATCCAGCTCCCTGCTCGTGGCCTTGGGAAGCAGTCAAGGACAGCCCAAAGCCTTGGGACCCTGCACCCACTTGGGAGACCCAGAAAAAGCTCCTGACTTCTGGCTTCAGATCGACTCAGCTCTGGCCATTGAGGCCACTTGAGTGAACCAGCAGATGGAGGATATTTCTGGCTCCTCTTTGTAGATCTGCCTTTGCAATAAAAATAGAATCTTAGAAAAGAAGGAAGGAAGGAAGGAAGGTAGGCACAAACTGGTGCTCATATGGGATTCCAGAGCTGCAGACAGAGGATTAGCCTGTTATGCCAACACACTGGCCCTAGTGTTCTGGTTTTTCAGATTTCCTGAGAATAATCTTCATGCCAGATGCATGTCTGTGTGTGGCATGCCTACATGTGAGGAACTGTACCGGTGAGCTGCCTTGAGACTTCAGGGAAGGGAAGCAGAGGGGAAGGCCCGAGTTCATTATCAGCAGGTACACTCCACTGGCATGGACCAGGACCCAAGGGGTGCCTTGGAGGGCCGCATCCTGGTCTCCTGTCACATGGATAATTCACTTGCTCCCGCTCTCGGGGACTTCCCAGTCCCTGCCCAATTTAAAGTTCTGACTCTGCAACTGCACCAAGTTGCAGGATTGCAGCCAGGGAACCTGAGGTTCCAAGAGTTCAGAAGGCTCTCAGGAGAGCTGAACTGGGCTAAGGGGCAAGGATACCGGGGAGGCCCTGGACAGAGAATCTGAAGGTCAAGCCTCATTGTCCCCAGCTTGGGTCCTGGGGTACCCTCTCACCCAGGCTGGGGTCTGTGCTGGGCAATGAGCTATCTCCTTCCATGTGTGCTGGGCAGCCTTGACGTCACCGAAGTCTGAAGGAATTGGTTGCTTTGTCCAGTGAGACTTGAGTGGCTGCAGGGGCCTGTGCTGAGCCAGGGACATCCTCAGAAACATAAGTTATTGTTCCCCCTTTTTTGTTCCCCTCCCTCAAAGTCCTTTTATTACACCCAAATAGCAGCTTGATGCAGATTAGAGGGTAAAACATGACAGTGAGGCATATTCTGTGAGCTCCCCTAACTCAGTAGGTCTGAGATGAACCCATTGTCCCCCACCTCCTACAACCTGTTCCCACCACTGGGTCTCACTGGGTGGCCCCTCTACCCGCCCCCTCAGCTTGCTACTCATCAACCCAGCTCCCCTGCTCCCTCACCTGCTTCTGCAGCCCAAGATATACGTAGTGTGTTTTACACATGCAGGCACAGACTTGAGTCTGTCTCCCAGATGCTATTTCACACACACACACACACACACACACACACACACACACACACACACTTGCAAAAAGTGTGTGGAAAAATGGGATTGCAATACATTTATTTTGCTGCAAAAATTTGGAATGATCTCTCTATAGCATATTTTAATGTATCTTATTCATCTATTTATCTATTACCCTGTATATTTATCTCCATCTCTAGTTCTCTCCCATGTTTTTGTCAGTTTCACCTTTCCCTTCACTGTCGTCTGGTTTAGGCCTCCTGTGGGCCATGATCTGTGTCGCCATTTCCTCACTGCCTACCCTGAGTCCTGGCCTCTTCATCTATTTTTTACTCTGCAGAAGTGATCTTCCATTTCTAAAAAGTAAATAGCATTTTTTGAGAGACATACATATATATATATATAAAATTGGAAAAGCAGATTTACAGAGAGAAGCAGAGACACAAAGATCTTCTATCCACTGGTTCACTCCCCAAATGGCTGCAACAGCTAGAGCTGAGCTGAGCCCAAGTCAAGAGCCAGGAGCCTCTTCCGGGTCTCCCACATGGGTCTGGGCCACCATCAACTGCTTTCCCAGGCCACAGGGAGGGAGCTGGATGGAAGTGGAGCAGCTGGGAGACGAACTGGTGCCCATATGGGATCCTTGTGAGTGCAAGGCAAGGACTTTAGCAACTGGACTACTGCACTGGACCCAAATAGTAATATTATTATTTTAAAAAGTATTTATGTGGAAGTCAGAGTTTCAGGGAGAGGGAAGAAGAGACAGTAATATCTTCCATCTGTTGGTTCACTCTCTAAATGACAGCAATGACAGGAGGTTGGCCAGTCCTAAGCCAGGAGCCAGGAGCTGCTTCCGGGTCTCCCACATAGCTACAGGAGCCCAAGGAGCTGCTTTCCTAGGCCTTAAGTAGGGAGCTGAATGGGAAGTGGAGCAGCTGGAGCTCAAACTGGGACCTACATGGGATGTATCCCACATCATAGGGAGTGGCTTCACCCACTGCCCCACAGTGCTCGCCCCTGGAAGCTTTTAAGTCAGGCTCTTATATTCCCAATGTACTTTTCAGGAAGTTCCTGTGAATGGATTCCCATCTCTCCTGGCAGCAATGACTCTGGGTCCTTCACTGCACCTTACTGAATAATAGGATAGAGAAAACTTCTGCTCCAAGTGTATAGCTGAAGAATGGAGTTAAATCAGTAACTGGACTAAACTTGAGTCTGGCTATAAACCACCTGTCTCTCCCACAAGGTGCACAGAGGGCAGCCCCAGCTCCAGGGCTGGCAGCGCGGCCCCAGCACCCACCGTGTGCACCTACCGTGTGCACCTCATGCAGTGGCGACCACATGCTGCTGGGTGCATTGGTTGTCCATCCCTCCCTGTGTCCTCTCTTCTTGGCAGAGTGAGCAGGAAGAAGGCTGGGGAGAGGGGCTGAGGGGAATTGAGGAGGCTCCAAGAGGCTGGGCTTCTCTTCAGCCCCCAGGTTCTCCCCTTGTGCAGATGGCACTGCTGGGTTCAGAGCAGGGCGAGGAGTGGGCTTGCTCTCTGATTTGGGGTTGAGTCCCACTGTGCTCAGGATGGGGATCTGGGGCTGGGTCTTAGCATCTGGAATAAGGAGGGGGTAGGGTAAGTCTGGCACAACAGGGTGAAGGCTGAATGCCCTGCAGGAGGCCCAGGAAACTGCTGGGCAGCTCTGGTGCTTGGTGGCCCAGGGCTAAGCAGCTCTGGAGAGCACTGAGCTCTGGGAAGCGTTCGCTGTCATCTGTGGACCCTATCCCAGCTTGGCCATGACCACTTCTACGGAGACCTGCTGCTTTGTTGTGTGTGTATGTGCAGGACCTGAAGGGAAATCTGATACTTCCTGCTTTTAAGCTTATTACTGCCATGTCAAGGACACAGGCATAGAGAGAGGAGCAAAGCAGAGAGGGCTTCCTGGTAGGGGAGGCCTTTGAGCTAGGCAGCTCTTTTTAACTCAGGGAGTTGTGTGCTGGGAAGTGCTGTCTTTTGCAGAGGATTTCAGGAGAGCTCAGGGCTGGGCAGACAATGGAGAAAGAGCAAAGCTCTAAGACATATGGGATAGGTGGTTGGGGAGTGAGGCAGACAGTGCCACGAGTGAGGGTGTCCAGTGCCCCATGCAACAGCCATCACTGGTGCCCTTCAAATGGCCTTTGTGAGTATGGGGCAGGCTCTGCATTGGGGTGGTGGTGGTCAGGGCAGAGAAGGGCATAGAGAAAGGAGCCAGGAGGGCTGGGAAAGTGACTGCAAGAGCCACCCTGGGGCCATGGCGGGGGAGGGGTAGAAGGTAAGGCCAGCAAGGGTCAGTGGGTTTGGGGGCTCCCTTGCTGGGAGACCTGGAGTTGAGTGCCCCCGCCTATGCCCTGACCTTGCAGACAGACCCTCACCTGCAGGCGCATCTCTGGCCCCACACTTTCCGGGCAGCTTCCCGCACCTCCTTGTTCCTTAGGCTATAGATGATGGGGTTTAGCATGGGGGTGACCACGGCGTAGAGCACTGTGAAGGCCTGGTCTGAGATGCGTGCCTCCTTGCTCCTGGGTCTCATGTACATGAAGCTGACAGTGCCATAGAAGAGCAACACGACGGCCAGGTGCGCAGAGCAGGTGGAGAAGGCCTTGCGGCGGCTGGCAGCTGAGGGCGTCCTCAGCACGGCAACCAGAATCAGTGTGTAGGACAGGCAGATGAGAGCCAGGGGCACAGGCAGCAGCAGGATGGCACCCACCAGCAGGAAGGCCTCATTCACCGCCGTGTCACCACAAGCCAGCTTCATTACTGCGAGGATCTCGCAGGTGAAATGGCTGACGACACGGTGGCCACAGAAGGGCAGCCTCATGGCGAGGACGGTCTCCGAGGTGGACTTGAGCAGGCAAAGGCCCCAGGCAGAGGCCGCCAGCAGCCAGCACAGCGGACGGCTCATGAGCACCGGATACCGGAGGGGCCGGCAGATGGCCAGGTAGCGGTCATAGGCCATGATGGCAAGCAGCAGGCACTCAGTGGAGCCTGTAGCCAGGCTCAGGCACATCTGCACGGCACAGCCAGCGAAGGAGATGGTCTTGCTGGGTGACAGGAGGTGCACCAGCATCAGTGGCACAAAGGAGGTGGTGTAGCAGATGTCCAGGACAGAGAGGTTGCCCAGGAAGAAGTACATGGGCGTGTGCAGGCGGGCATCCAACAGGCTTACCAACACGATGGCCGTGTTGCCCAACAGCGTCACCAGGTACATGGCTGAGCACAGTGGGAAGAGCAGGTGCTCCAGGATCGGAGAGCCAGAAAAGCCTTGCAGAAAGAACTCCCACACCTCCTCTGTCCTGTTGGCTGGCTCCATGCTGTGGCTTCTGGGCTGGGAGGAAGGAGAGGATGTAGGCAGAGGGGATGGGCCACACGGGTTGCTGGGGTCTCTTCCAGATCAGACACACTGCCTCTGTGGCTTGGGCAATGCCTTCACCCTCTGCAGGCCTCACTTTTTAATGTGAGCAGTGAGCACTGGGTTGCATCTGCATTCCCTAAGACAGTGGTGGTGGAAAGTTAGTCGGCAATCTGAAGGTGACGGTGGATGAGCAGTGGGAAGGGGAGGGATAAAGCTCCTTACTATAGGACTTCATTGGAAAGGTAGATTTACAGAGAGAAGGAGAGACAGAAAGAAATCTTTCATCTGCTGGTTCACTCTCCAAATGGCCTCAATGGCTGGAGCTGAGTCGATCCGAAGCCAGGAATGCAGGATCCCAAGGCTTTGGGCCATCCTCCACTGCTTTTCCAGGCCACAGGCAGGGAGCTGGGTGGGAAGTGGAGAAGCTGGGACATGAATTGGTACCCATACAGGATTCTGGTGCTTGGAGGTGGAGGATTAGCCAATTAGCCATGGCTCCAGGCCATCTCAGAGCCTTTTATACACTGATATGCTCCCTGAACTCAGATGTGCTCAGAGACCAATCGATCACATTGCACGCTCCAGGGACACGATTTGGGAAGCAGGAAGCTGGGTGGAACATCCTCAAGCTTTATCATGCTCCAGAATCACCCAGAAAGTGCTCAGACACATGATGGTGCTGGAGTGGGGGAGGGGCTGGTGTCTCATATCAGAGTGCTGGTTCCAGCCCTGGCTCCTCTGCTTCCAGTCCAGCTCCCTGCTTATGGGAAGCAGCAGAGGGTGGCTGAAATGCTTGGGCTGGGCCCTTGCATGCAGTTGGGAGACCACAATAGAGCTCTGGGTTCCTGGCTTTAGTGTGTGTCTTTCTCCCCCTGTCTCTCCCTCTTTCTCTTTGCAACTCTGCCTTTCAAATTTAGCTCTCCCTCTCTTTCACACATGCACACAATGGTTGGGCCCCATTCCATTCCCAGAGCATCTGATTCAGAAGATATGGGTGATACTGCTAGGTACTCCACTTTGAGAACCGCTAGACTGAACAGTCTATGCAGCCTGCCTTTCCAAGTCTGCCCTTCTCCATGCACAAAACCACATGTTTGGGGCTTTGCTTTGCCTGGGCTGGGCCCTCTTAGTTGCCCCTGATATGTTCACCTGTCCCCTTGTCCCATCTCAGGACCTGCTTTGTGGTTGCTCAGTATGTGAGCCTTCAGAATCCACAAGCATCCTAGCAAGAACTTGATGGGCTTCTCTGTCCCTGCTGTGTCCACACCACAGCCAGGGCTACTTGAACTTGAACTACCGGGGCACTGATATAGACAGGGACCCTGAGAGGTCCATTCATGGGATTTTACCTGGTACAGGTAGGAGAACTGAGGCCACACAGTGGTTCTCACCTCCTCCACGCAGGCTGCCCGCATTGGTGGTTCTGATCCCACCCCAGGGATGCCACTCTCCCCAGTTCTCCCCATGGTCATCTTGCCAGTCAACCTTGACTTCAGCACTTCAGGATAGCTGGCTTGGGCCCCAGATCCTTGGGGGACATTTGGCCAAGGTCCTGCCTGAGCTGAGTACCAGCGATGCCAGAACCTTGCCTGCAAGAGACTTTTGTCTTCTAGAACCCAGAGGTGACTATGCCCCATGCTGGGCTGTGGCAAGGACTGGGAGAGGACAGGTGTGGTCCCAGGTGGTGGCCTACTGAGCCAGGAAGCTCATTACTAAAATACACACGTTCCCTCTTCTCTCTTTGCTGTCAGGAGTCATTCTGGGCCTCTGCTGGGTTGGTAGCCCCCATGTCATGCCTTGCTCTCACAAGGGAGAAGTACAAGCCCATGGCTTAGCCTTGCCTCTGGAAACTGAGGCCCATGAAGAAGAGGTCCCCTGACTTAGCAGAGAGCTAGAGGAGGCAGGTGAAGGACCATGGCTGGAGCGGGGCCTGGAACCAGCAGTAAGCTTTGCTTCAGCTCATGGGATGGCAGTGGGTCACAGCCTCTTCTTTGCAAGGTTCCAGACACTTCAGTTTCTGTGCTAAAGTCACCCACAGCACCCACAGCCACCTACATGGGGTTACCACACATGAGCCACCCACTTTTGAGCACCCACACACCTGTTTTCCTAGCAGGCCTTCACACATGTGCCTGTTTTCACATATATGGCTCATTAAAGCACAGGCTCACATATGACCACATATGTGGTAAGCTACATGCACAGGTGCACCTGGGCATCAGATTGTCTTGAAACTGTCTCATGTGCATATGAGTATCCACACACACACACAGACACGGGCAGGCACGGAGAACTCCAGGGCAGATCCTGCAGAAGGCTTGGCAGGACCACTCATTCCAAGATGGTGATGCTTGGAGGTCACTACCAGGTAAGGGCCCCAGGAGGATCACTAGGGAGGGAGCAGTCCTGGGGGTGAGGAGAGCAAACTCTGACCAGGAAGGACTAGGGAGCCCCAAAGGAAATAAAAAGATTCCCCAAACCTTCTTAGTGTCTTACCCCACCTGCTGGCCAGGGTTCAGTGGGAAGATGGCAACTGGGGGAAGGGGTGGAAGAGGACCAAGTTGAGTGCAGAGTCCACAGGTGTCTTTTGCCTTCCTCTCTCTCCTGGCCTGGTGCTACCTAAATAGCCAGCTCAAATGACACCTCCTCCAGACAGCCCTCCTTTAGGTTTTCTGGGCCACCCCGAGCCTCTCTGCTTTGTTTTCCATGGCACCTCAAGGATACCACCTACCCCTTCCACTACCTGCCTACAGCCTACCCCTTGCCAGTCCACAGGAATGGTATCTCCTTTTCCCTCCTCTCCCAGCTTCTCAAGGTCCCCAGCCTGGCCACAGCCACTTCCTCCCTGCAAGTTTTTGGGGCTAACGAGCATCTGGCTGCTTGCAAAGGGCTCTCTCCAGCCTGGGAGACCCTGGAGGAGGTGGGAGAGGTCTCACCCAGCAGCTGGTGAGAATTCTTACGCACAGGGAAGCTGAGGTCCCAAGATGAGACAGGGCTTGCTCAGTGTCATGATGTGAGTTGGAGGGGAAGCTGCGGTCCTTATGGTTGTTCAGAGAGACTAGTTTCTTTCTGTGCCTCCACCTTCCCATTTCTCGCTTACGCTCTGGTTCTTCTTGGTCCATGTCTTTGGCTACTCAGCAGGTGTTCTGGAGGGTTTGAGATCAGAGATGACCTTGGGCTAAGGTTACAGGGTACACAGGTCAGGGGGGCAGCACACAGGGTTGAAGCCCAGCCCAACTTTGCAGAGCGTGGCACCTGTTCTCAGAGAGTTCAGTGAAAAGCCTCAAACCTGATGTGAGTAATGGAGTGATCCTAATTCGGCAGCAGTGTAACAAGTGTCCAGAATCCAGTAGAATGCGCAGAAGTGTTTCGAGCTGGGTAGAATCACAGGTGGAGCAGTCATTGACTGAGAGCAGCTCGCAGCTCCAGCCTGGCCAACATCCTCCAGGGGAGCAAGGTGGCCGCATGGAGACAGCACCTTTCCAAGCTCCCTTGGCCCCAGGGACTGGTGCAGTCCCAGGAGGGTGTGAAGGGCAAGAAAGTGTGCCCATCTTAGAAACTTTGGGGTGCTTTGGGGATGATGTCCCAAAGACCCAATTACCAGGAGTCTGCTTTGAGATCTTAATTGGTGCAGAAAAGTTGGAGATGGCAGCTGGGGACCTCACAGGGCGGCCTCCAGCAAGTGCTGCTGAGGAAAGTTCATCAGATAACTAGAGAATGGCTGGGTGGACAACTGAATGAATGAAGAAGCAGTTTTTGATGAATTCTTTTGAAGATAAAGAAATGAGGGTGGGGAGTTGCTTTCTGGAAGTGGAGTTAGAGAGCTTGGTTCTGCCCTGCCAGGGATTGGCAGGGCTGCAAGATGAAGAAACTGCCTAACAGGGAAGTGACCTAGGGAGAGAGAGGGAGAGGGAGAGTCTTCCTTCTACTAGTTCTCTCCAAAGGCCCATGATGGATGAAAGGCAGGAGCCAGACCCACACGCTCAGTTAAGGGTTGCCGTGTAGGTGGCAGGAGTCTGACCACTGGAGCCCTCACCACTGCCTCCCAGGGGCTGGAGGCAGGAGCTGGGGCTGGGCACAGAATCCAGGCACTTGTCCAGAAAGTCTCCTTCATGGTCCCCCTAAAGTGCTTTCTGGTTCGCAGACCATGCCTCTGCAAATTTAGGAGGCTCTAAGAAGACAGGGTCATTTACTTTGGAATTTAATATTGCTTAATTTTATTTCATTATTTTAAAGTCATAGGTAATTCCATTCATGTTTTATCTAGTTACACCAATACAAGCTCATTCTTGTGAAAAATGTAGAGCAAATAGTGTGAAAGTCAATCTCCCTTTCAGTGATCACCAATTCTCAGCCCACATTCTTTCCCTTTAAGTAATCAACATTAGTAGCCTTTTAAAAAAAAGCTTTATTTCTTTGAAAGGCAGAATTAGAGAGAGAGAGAGAGAGAGAGAGAGAGAGAGAGAGAGAGAGAGAGAGCTTCCATCTGCTTGTTCACTCTCCAAAGCAAAGGGCCTCATCAGCTGGAGCTGGGCCAGTCCAAAGTCATTAGCCAGGGGCTTCTTCCGGGGTGCAGGGATCTAAGCACTTGTGCCACCTTCTGTTTCCTAAGGTTATTAGCAGGGAAACTGGATTGGAAGTGTAACAGCTGGTGCTTGAAATGGCATCCATAAGGCAGGCAACGGCTTTACCCACCATGTCCCAACGCCAGCTCCAGCATTGGTAGTCTTATATATGTCTCTGGATGCTTTCCTGTTTATTGGCATAACTGTGCATAGAAATAGATCTTCTGGGCCTGGCATGGTAGCCTAGTGGTTAAAGTCCTTGCCTTTCACACACCAAGATCCCATAAGGGCACTGGTTCATGTCCCAGTGGCCCTGCTTCCCATCCAGCTCCCTGCTTGTGGCCTGGGACAGCAGTGGAGGATGGTCCAAAGCCTTAGGACCCTGCAACCATA